GCACCAAAGCTCTTGTAGAAACAAACAAACAAATGAACAAAATATGTTCTCCTTCATTTCTGTCAAACAAAGTTGTATGACACGTTTCCAGCGGTTAGTATCATGGTTGCTAGGCAACCTGGGAAGCGCGACGGAGACTAGACCGTCCCATACAGACAAACTTGCCGTTTATTTTGCAAATCGAGCTCAACACTGCCCCTAGCGTCCTGGAGCACTTCCTTGTGTTTTGGGGTTTGCATGTGCTTTGTCTGTAGGGGCCACCGTATGTAACTACTCATTCTTTAAAACTTGTAATTGTGGATGTGTTGTTACAAAACAGCAACAGAAGGCCAATTCAGGCTTATCCTAGTTCATGGCAATTAACCACAGCAACTCAGCAAAGATAAACCAACATTGAAGAAAGAGAGCGATTGTGTGTGTGTGTGTGTGTGTGTGTGTGTGTGCGCGCGCGCGGTGCGTGTGTGTGTGTGTGTGTGTGTGCGTGTGTTTGTGGCGTGTGTCTACATCTCCACGTACGGCTTTGAGAAGTCTTTACCCCAGTCATAATATAACTGTAGATATTGCTTCTTGGGTAGTTTATGAGGAAAATGTCGGTTTGTAAGTTCAGTAAAATAGGAAATGATTTTTTCCCTGTGTACAAACCTGTGACAGTGTACAGTGCCGTAATCGCCAGAAGTGCAATAACAGCGAGGTAGATATTCAACCCAAGTGCCTGTTGGATAAAAATTGCACCAGACAAAATATCGGCCTGAATGGGGAGAAAAAAAAGTAGGATTTCATTTAGGATCATCCAAAACAGGCACAATAGAAATATTCTCTGCTTTTCTTTCAGGAACTTACTGAAATTTTGGTGAAGACATACAAGAGAAGGGAGAGAAGAGAGAGATAAATGCGAATGCGCTGTCCTCCGAACCTCTTCTTCAAGTACTCAGGCATGGTGATGATCTAAATACATCCACAAAACATGAGATTTTACTCATTAATCATTGCTTATTTAGAAAGGGTAAATAAATATATATATGAGGGCTTTTGTTTACCCCAGCTCTAATGTAGATGGGCACAAAGATCCATCCCAGGATAACAATCACAAAAAGAGACTGAAACACACAAGAAATATGCAATAATCAGGAACTCTGTTTCCTTTCATCCTTTTTTCCTCTGCACAATGGAGCGCTCATAAAAATCAGTAAACCAGGAGCTGACATGAACTGATTCAGTATCAGAGGCGAGAAATTCTTCTATATAACAAGTGATAATTGATGAGTGGCTCAGGAACAGTTACTCACATTCCATTCAAATCCACCAATGGCTATTCCTGCAGCTGCGCCAGTACCAGCATTCCTACAAATGGACACTGCCAATATTGCTGGCAAACAGCGATGCTCCGATCTGTGGAGAGCACAGTTCAATCTGTCAGTAGGTCTATTTGTAAATTAAGGAGACTTCATTCAAGAATCAACTTGGTTATGCTTTTTATGTTAGCCCACATCTCAGTATATTGTATAAATTGTAAATGATTTACACATTTGATTACTCAGAAGTAATGATGATGATTTGTTAATCTCATATAACCTCATAAATCATATTTATATGGGACTTTACTAGTCTTAATCTCTGTTCAAAACTAGACTTTTTGTAGCCCATCCATCGCCACAGTTGGCGAGGGGCTATTGCCAAGCACATGCACTGTCATGCAGAACTCTGTCACATCTTTTGCAAGGTCATTGTCACAGTACCAGAGAAAGTGTAAGTAATTTCGGTGATCGTCCCTTACAGTAAAGCAGTAGAAAATCTGTTTCACATCTGTAGTTATTGCTATGGGCTTTTTTAGAAACTGCAGTAGCACACCAACCAAAGTGTTGTTCAAGTCTGGACCAAAAGGACATCATTCAATGACTCCCCCTCGTGTTTGGCACTTGAGTCAAAAACAACCCTTACTTGTCCAGGCTTTTGCAGATGGTATACTCCAAACAATGGAAGATACCAGCACTCTTCCTCAGGTTTCAAAACAGTCTTCATGGCCAAAGGTTTCACCTCTACTGGGCACTTGTATCGAACCATCAAGTGAGAGCCAGCACCCCACTTTTTTTTAACAAGGTTTTTTGCATTGCTACAGTATTTAACTGTCTTCCCACACACATTGCACACAGCATAATTTATATGCTGAACATAAACGCAGTTATAATCTGTGAACAAAGTCAAGACTGAGTGTTTTGTGGTCTGTTTTGTGCCTTGGGTATCTCACTGACTCACATTCTTGTGGAGCCTTAGCACGCACTTGAATGAGAGGCGGAAGGCGATTGTAGTTCCTATCCAAAGGGTATTGCCAAATGTCCCGCTAATTGTGGAGTTTACTTTTGTCTGTAAGTCATATTTAAATTAAAAATGTAAAAAATTTAAAATTAGAAAAGTGTAATCAAATTAGTTATTGATATTTTCATATGGGAATTGATCCTGCAACATGAAACGCTGGTAATGGAAGCATTGATAGTTCAGGACCGCTCCACACATCACTACCCCTCAGTCAGTCAATGAGATGATATACAGCGGTGAATATGACTGACACCCATAAACAAAGCAGCATCTGGCTGCAGTTTAAAGAAGCAGACACTAACTAAGTGGAGAAACCGCATCAGCCCATCCAAGCTGAGGCATTTGATTTTTCTGAATGTCAACTTGCACTGAGGACAAACTGTTTGGCTACTGAACAGCTACCTTGGCTCTGTTTCTGTTCTGTGGATTTGTTTGCAGCGTTTTGTTTTTGTGTGAACAAATGCACAAAATTATGCATTTACAAGGTTTCTCATAAAAACACTCAATGCAAAAGGGTTTGTCAACACACAAAGCATTCATATTTGCCAAATAAGGCTAAAATGTGAGGCTACAGATGATAATAAATGAAGAGCCATTTGGGAGCCAAAAGAGCCAGCTCTTCTTTGGGAGACAAGCCACAAGAGCAGGACTCTGAAAAGGTCTGAAAACGAACTTCCCATCACTACTAGCTGGGCACAACAAGCTTCCCAAGTGCCAACTGTGGCCCCAAGAGGGTGCCAAATCATACAAAACAAAATCTTAATAACACATTCCAGCTATAAGAACACAATCACTAATTAACCTAACATGCATTTTTTAGGATTATAAGATGAAACCAGGCACCTGGGAAAACCCTGTGCATTCAACATGCTTTATGTGTAGTCATAATTTGACCACGCATTCATACAGCACATTATCTATCTCACATCCATGGTCCATGTAGAATGATCAGCTAACCTTAAATGCATGTCTTTAGACTACAGGTGGAAGCTGGATACCTGGAGGCAGAAGGAGAACATGCAAACTCACACAGAATGGCACAGCTAGGATTTGAACCTGGGGGACACTCTTGCTATGACGTGACTATGATAACCACCACTGTACCATAAAATGCTTCTTTTATGATAGCTTACATCACATTGTTTTCCATTTGAACACAGCAATAAAAAATTGTTAATGGCTCTAAATGCAGGAAGAATACTGTAAAGGATCTAATTCTAAATATAAAGATACTCACCGGCCACCATACCATACTCCTCCCTGCAAGGAAGAAGCCACCTACAGTGGATCTGTTAGTGTGGACCATAGACTGTAACAGGACAAAGGCACATTTTTAGAAAATCCTTAAATATGTGCAAAACTGTAACAGACTACATTGAAGGAACAAAGACATCCAGACTAAAGAGGAGAAGAAAAACATGGCTTGTTAACAGCACTCAGTCACTCGACGGTATGAGGGTGACTTGCTTCTTATGCCGTTGCAGCTTGCACATCTGTAAAGGAACCTTTAATGCTGCAAGGTGTTGTATGTGCAGATTCTAGAGCAACATATGCTCCCATCCAGATGACATCTTTTTCAGTGAGAGCATTGTATTATCCAGCAAGACAATGCTCATTGCATCTATCACAACAGGATATCTTCATAGTAGAAAAGACTGATCTGCCCTGGCATTAATCCAGACCTTTCACCAACTCAAACCATTTAGGCAAAAATATGAGGAACACCCAAAAGTGTTGAGCAGCTAGAATCCTATATTATTAGACAAAAATGGGACAAAATTCCTCCATCCAATTCATAATTAGGATTTTTTTTAATGGTACATGTTTTTTCAGGTTAATTTGAAATTTCCACTAGAAATAAAATATGAATTTATGAGATTTTCAAATCATTGCATTTAGCTTTCATTTACGTTTTACACAGTGTCCTGACTTTTTTAGAATCAGGGTTGTAAGACACATTAGGACACATTAACATACAAACTATACTAAATCTTCTTAGCTGGAAACAGTTTATAAAATTATTGAGGAATTGCAGAGAAATTGGTTTTAAAAGTGATTGCAAAACTTACCCAAACTCCAACTGCCAAGACGACCAGGAAGTACACCACAATAACAGAGATATCTGCAGCATTATTAAGAGCCGTGGTGTTTTTTGCATCATTTTCTGCATTTCTGTTTATGTAAGAGAATCCAAAATAAGAATAATCTTGAGACATTTTAGCTGAGACAGACAACAGCAGTGTTGTTTGAGTCGGCTCTGTTTGAAGCGTTTACAGAAAGCGATTACCTTTATAACCTTTGGTGTGCATGTGAGAGGGAGATGAAAGCAGGAGGCGTAGATAGTGTAGATGTAAAAGAAGGGAAAACAAAGAGTGGGCTTGTCTAAGACATTAACACATACTCCAGTTGGCTGAAGGTGGATGCACATATGAACGTTGCTGATTCAAGAATGTTGACCTGAAAAATGTGTTAAAATGTGTAACTGTCATGATCCTGGGTCATTTGACAAAGTGTTTTTGAGTTCTTTTGTTTTGGTGTCAATTTTGTATTCTGGTTGGTTGGTCTTTATTCAGGTTTATTTAGTAATTTTGAGTTTATTCTATGTTTTAGTTTCTTGTCTATTTAGGTTGCCCTTGTGTCTTTGTCTTCTGTGTGTTTTTTGTTTATGTGTATCCTTGTGTCTTGTTTTCCTTTTCTGTTGTCAAGTTCCCCCTCCTTGTGTTCATTCCATGTCTCCCCTGTCTGGCATGTTTACCCATGTTTCCCCAGCCCATCAGCTCTCCCTCGCCCTCCCTCGCCCTCTCTCGCTCGCTCGACCTCTGTCTTGTGTTTTCTCTACCTCTCTGTTGCTCTTGCAGTCTTAGAGGTGTCTCTGTTTTGTCTCCCTTACCTGTTCCAGAGTTTCTCTCCTTTTTTCCCATCTCGTCTCCCCAGTCTGTTCTAAGTTTTCATGTCTGTTCCATGTCCTGTTGTCAAGCTCGTGTCAGTCTACGTCTCAGTGTTTCCTGTTTTATTGTGACAGCTGTCTGTCTGGTTAGTTAGATCATGTTCAGTTGTGTTCCCTCCCGTGGTTTGTTCGCTCGTTTTCCCTCGTGCTCATTCATGTCTGCGTCTCACTCTGTCCTGTGTTGCCATCTCCCTCATGGCTATGTGTTTCTCTGTGTGTTTGGTTTAGGTTTCTGTATTCCAGTTCAGTTTCGTTTTGTATTTCTGGCATCCCAGCGATTAAGGTCAGCACCCTGAGGCTCCTCCCCGTTACTGCCTTCCAGGTTTCCAGTCATCACCCTGCCGCAGCAGCAGGTTTGCCCGGCCATGTTTCTGGCCAGAATGTGAGCTGGGAATGAGGAGTCGGCTACCCAGCGGCTTCCTCTGCACCACGCTGCCGGATCAAACAGCGGGGATGAGTAATGGCGGCTTCTTGCCACCAGCTCTCTTGAGAACCGAGAGAGCTGAGACTAAAATAGTACTGACTATAGGTTCCATATCAGTTCCATGTACCGCCAATCCAGCAGAGCTGAATTAGGAGGGTTTTGTTTCCAATTTGCCTAGTAAAAGAGATTATTATTGTTCTACTGACTCTGTTTCTAAAGACTTAAGTCCAGTGATTATAACCCCTGTGCCTGAAAGAACTGTAGCTATGTGTTTAGAGGTGTTTAACAATGGGAATAGGACTGCATGTAGCATGGCCAAATCTGCCATAATTAAAGATTCTCTGGGACAACTGAAAATAACATTCATTTCTGCTAATGGGAGTCATAAGAAAATGT